TAAGAACATTCACCACCTGATAGTGTGGGTACCTATAAAAAAACCTGGAGTCTAGCCACCCCACTTACTGATAAAAGACTGGATGCTTTTCCCCACAAGACTGGGAATAAGGAAAGGCTGACTTTTCCTACCACTCCAAAACAAAGTGGCAGAGGCCCTAGCTAATGTAGTAAGACAAGTAAAAGAAATAAAAGGCATATAGATTGCAAAGGAAGAGTAAAATCTTTGATAATTCTCAATTGGTTTTCCATGCCAGTACACTTGAGGAACACAACATGCTCCTCCCATTGGTGACTGCAATTCATTACCAAGGTGATTTTAATGGGGGCCATGTCTTACCTAGTACATGTGTATTGTGGGGGGAGGGGCCACAGACATGTATATACATACATCTGAAAAAAAGCTTCCGCTGTGAAAATCCCTGCTAAGGATGCAACCTAAAGCTACAAAATGAATTAGGTCATCAAGCAAGAATTTGCAGTCAGGGGGGGTCTACCTGGGAATCATACATAAAAAGGGAGGATTCAGATGAGGAACCAGAGGAGACTGAAGGAAAGTCTCTATAGAGGTAAGAAGACAAGGGGAGTATGGTACAGGGAAGGCAGAAAATTGGGGCAGTTCACACTTGAGACCCTCAAGTTCTTCCATCTGGGCCATCTCACTCATTTACATTCTTGCCAGGCCCCTGTTGGCATTGGAGTTTGCAACTTTTATAGGGGCTAACAGCAGTACTTGAAGCTTAACAAATCAACAGGCACTTACCAAGGGGACAAAGAAGAGAAAAGCTCCACCCATCCAGGGAAATTGCATATGTAAAGTACACGTGTGTGAAAGGGTATTATTTGGTGTATGTGTGTGTGTGTGCATGGGAAGGAGGGAGAAGTGAGCAAGAAGAGCATGAAGGAAGCAAATGAGACGAGGCTGGGTCTTGCCATGGTCTTGAGCAGGGGAAAATCAGACTTGTTTTTAAAGAGGCTCAGACAACAGCAATGAGAACTGGCTGGAAGTGGGAGAGCAGACCTCACAACGGTCTAGACCAGTGGTCGGCAAACTCATTAGTCAACAGAACCAAATACCAATAGTACAATGACTGAAATTTCTTTGGAGAGCCAAATTTTTTAAGCTTAAACTATATAGGTAGGTACATTGTTATTAACTTAATTAGGGTACTCCTAAGGCTTAGGAAGAGCCACACTCAAGGGGCCAAAGAGCCGCATGTGGCTCGCGAGCCGCAGTTTGCCGACCACGGGTCTAGGCAAGGCAGGATGAGGGCGTCCAGCTGTGGGATGGGGAGGAGAGGCCTGGTCTCAGTGACTGGTCAGAGGAAGCACAAACAGGGCTGGGGAAGTAGAATGGCTGGGTGGAGAATGGTGTGGTGACAAATGGCATCTGATCACAGTACTACTACCAGCCACCAACACTCACTGCACACTGCCTGTGCACATCCAGCATGTCACCAAATTCTCCGAACAAACCCAGGAGGCAGGCATGACTACCATCTCCCTATCCCCAATAGGAAGGCTCGGTCAGTTGTCCAGAAGTTCTCCCAGCTGGCACAAGATTGAGGCTCTGATTTAAGTCCAGGAAGGATGGTTCTTCAGGGCCATGCTCTTCCCTTGATTTGGCCTATTAGGGAAGACCATGAATATGGGAGTGAGGGATGAAGGACCCGAGGAGGAATACTGAGTTCTGCAGGGGATCACGTCCTAAGGAGAAAGTTCTTTTCTTCAGGCTGGAGGAGTTAACTTTGAGTCTATCTACAGAGGTGGAGCTGAGCCGTGGGAGGGAATGAGAGCAGGACACAACTTGGGGAAGACCACTATGTATGAAATAAGTGGGAGGAGAGGCAGGACTGAACAAGGTTATGAACATAGGAAGAGAACCAAGAAAGACACAGGAGTTTTAATTCTAAGACATCCTGTGATGTGGGAGCCTCCCCAGATCTCCAGGGCCCAGTCCCTGTTGCCTCACCAGCCTCCTGGCTACCCCTCCAACATGCCCTCCCTGATGCTATTCACCACCCTTGATACCACCTAGATAACTTCTGCTGTTCAAAAACTATTTTTTCTTAAACTTTCTATTGAAGTATTATCCACTCATTTTTTCAATATCTACACTAATAAAAGAGAAACATGGTAATTGGCGTACGACCGCTACCCTTTTCATTGGCTAATCAGCAAGATATGCAAATTAACTGTCAGCCAAGATGGCAGTTAACTGCCAACAAAGATGGCGGTTAATTTGCATATGTAGGCACAATGCAGGGAGGTGAAAGGGAAAGCAGGAAG